AGCAGCTTCACCCTGAACTCATGGGTCAGTAGACGTGGGTTTATCTCCTGTCTCAGCACACAGTGTCCAGAGCGCTGGTAACTGACTCTGCGACTAGCCAAGTTTCAGTGTTTGATTTAGGCCCTTTGAGGTTTGAGGTTTTGAACAACGGATCAACATCATGGCACACAACAGAGATGGATAAGTGCACCCATAAGTACTCTGTTCTTCTTCTATCTCAAGTCTGAGTCCGAAGAAGCTCAGCACAGTGCAAAGGCTCTGTAGCACCAGCGAGGATCCTGAAATACTTTGGGTAGATTTTTGACTTCAAATTTTGCCCGTGCAGTGCTGTTAGGCTACTCTTTTCGATTTCCAACTGCCAAGGGATTTTTTACTTGGGCAACAATGCACACGGGCGTCCAATCTCACTGTCCAGCGACCAGGGAAAATTACTAGAAGTCCAAGTCCAGGTGAAATAATCCCAGCCCTTACCGGGGATTGAACCCGCAACCTCTAGCACTCGAGGCGGACACCATGCCTTGAGAGCACGCAGCCCTAATAATTTAGTCCCTAAGACTATCTAATAAGTTTAAGAGACTGGTCCAGTGTGAGGTATTTCTCCAATGTGAAAGACTGGTCCAGTGTGAGGTATTTCTCCAATGTGAAAGACTGGTCCAGTGTGAGGTATTTCTCCAATGTGAAAGACTTGTCCAGTGTGATGGATTTGTCCAATGTGAAAGACTGGTCCAGTGTGAGGGATTTGTCCAATGTGAGAGACTGGTCCAGTGTGAGGGATTTGTCCAATGTGAAAGAATGGTCCAGTGTGAGGGATTTGTCCAATGTGAGAGACTGGTCCAGTGTGAGGGATTTGTCCAATGTGAGAGACTGGTCCAGTTTGAGAGATTTGTCCAATGTGAGAGACTGGTCCAGTGTGAGGGATTTGTCCAATGTGAGAGACTGATCCAGTGTGAGGGATTTGTCCAATGTGAGAGATTGGTCCAGTGTGAGGGATTTGTCCAATGTGAGAGACTGGTCTAGTGTGAGCGATTTGTCCAATGTGAGAGACTGGTCTAGTGTAAGGGATTTGTTCAATGTGAGAGACTGGTCCAGTGTGAGGGATTTGTCCAATGTGAGAGACTGGTCCAGTGTGAGGGATTTGTCCAATGTGAGAGACTGGTCCAGTGTGAGGGATTTCTCCAATGTGAAAGACTGGTCCAGTGTGTGGGATTTGTCCAATGTGAGAGACTGGTCCAGTGTGAAGGATTTGTCCAATGTGAGAGACTGGTCCAGTGTGAGGGATTTGTCCAATGTGAGAGACTGGTCCAGTGTGAGGGATTTGTCTAATGTGAGAGACTGGTCCAGTGTGAGGGATTTGTCCAATGTGAGAGACTGGTCCAGTGTGAGGGATTTGTCCAATGTGAGAGACTGGTCTAGTGTGAGGGATTTGTCCAATGTGAGATTGATCCAGTGTGAGGGATTTGTCCAATGTGAAAGACTGGTCCAGTGTGAGGTATTTCTCCAATGTGAAAGACTTGTCCAGTGTGATGGATTTGTCCAATGTGAAAGACTGGTCCAGTGTGAGGTATTTGTCCAATGTGAGAGACTGGTCCAGTGTGAGGGATTTGTCCAATGTGAAAGACTGGTCCAGTGTGAGGGATTTGTCCAATGTGAGAGACTGGTCCAGTGTAAGGGATTTGTCCAATGTGAGAGACTGGTCCAGTGTGAGAGATTTGTCCAATGTGAGCGACTGGTCCAGTGTGAGGGATTTGTCCAATGTGAAAGACTGGTCCAGTGTGAGGGATTTGTCCAATGTGAGAGACTGGTCCAGTGTGAGGGATTTGTCCCATGTGAGAGACTGATCCAGTGTGAGGGATTTGTCCAATGTGAGAGACTGGTCTAGTGAAAGGGATTTGTCCAATGTGAGAGACTGGTCCAGTGTGAGGGATTTGTCCAATGTGAGAGACCGGTCCAGTGTGAGGGATTTGTCCAATGTGAGAGACTGGTCTAGTGTGAGGGATTTGTCCAATGTGAGATTGATCCAGTGTGAGGGATTTGTCCAATGTTAGAGACTGGTCCAGTGTGAGGGATTTGTCCAATGTGAGAGACTAGTCCAATGTGATCCTGGTCCAGTGTGAGGGATTTGTCCAATGTGAGAGACTAGTCCAATGTGATCCTGGTCCAGTGTGAGGGATTTGTCCAATGTGAGAGACTAGTCCAATGTGATCCATGTGTCCAATGTGAGATTGATCCAGTGTAAGATAGAAAAAAAAAAAGCTAGTTTGGTATAAGAGATTAGTCCAGTATAAGAGCCTGGGCCAGTAGTTTAGTGTGAGATATTGGTGCAGGTGACAAATTGGTGCAGAGTGAGAGGTTTGTTCACTGTGAGAGACTGGTCAAGTTAGATACTGGTTTAGTGTGAGAGATTGGTGCAGGGTGACAGACTGGTCAAGTTAGATACTGGTCCAGTGTGAGAGACTGGTGCAGGGTGAGAGACTGGTCAAGTTAGATACTAGTCCAGTGTGAGAGATTGGTGCAGGGTGAGAGACTGGTGCATAGTAAAAGACTGGATCAATTTGAGAGATTTGTCCAGTGTGAGAGATTGGTCAAGTTAGAAACTGGTTTAGTATAAGACTGCCTGAGAAGCAAGGAGCCAACAACAGTCTGTACGCAAACAGACCATATCTTTAAAATGTTTGTGCATGTAATATAACATAACATAACATAACCCTTGACCCATCAAGTTCAAGAGGTGTACTGATGGAAGCACTAGCACATAAAACCTGCCAACTTTCTGTCTTCCGCTTGATGAGTAAGTGTATGATAACTTAGTCCTGTCCATTTCTTGATGTTGTCATTCCAGTTTCTTCTATGCATTCCTCTTCTTCGACTACCCACCAGTACATCCAATACTTGAGTCTGGAATAAGAAAAAAGTCCAGAAGTAGACAGTTTTGGCTTCTAAAGAAGATGATGGTCAACAGATTATTGGGATAGTTACATATCTGGCACTTTGGGGCGTGTTGTGGCTGTATTCTGTTTAGATGTCCATTGAGTGGAATATGTTTTGTTCAGAGCCTGAAGATGGTGGCTGGTCCCTCCTTGTTGGTTCATGCTGTCGTAAGGATCAAGGTCAGCAATACATCTATAAACCTCTCTTCCAGTATCTCCCATGGCCCATCTGTTCAGCCAAGTCTCTTTGTTTACAGCAATTATATGTGCTTATTACTGTCTGTAGGGTTGTCGGTGTGGGTGGTTGATCTTGTGTTGCTTCTTTTTTTTTTGGCCAGTCTGTCATTACCTGGTGTGCCGGGGTGGCCTGGAATCCACTGCATCCCTTTTCTGATGTTGTATGAGATAATGAGCTGATCAGCATCCAGAATTATCTTGGCTATGTCAGTTCTGCAACGTTCACTGCCCTCCAGATCTTGAAGAGTGGACACTGAATCAGTGAAGAACACCAGCTGCAAACATTGGCGAAAAGTTATGCGTGTTCAACCAACTCCGTACTTTAGTCTTGCCCCAGAACCTGAGTGTGGCATGCACATCTGTTTTACAGATCTGGTTTAGTTGTATGCAGAGTTGTTTTTGGTACCTTGCCTCTCAAGTAGATGTACTCCAACTTCAAAGGATGTCCTCAGTTAGTGGACTCCTACGACAAACTTGTTCTTGTGGTACCTTGTCTCTCACGAAGATGTACTCCAACTTCAAAGGATGTCCCCAGTTGGTGGACTCCTACGACATGCATGTTGGGAAAGCAGTGGGTCTATTCTTGTTTTCCCCACAATGGGGCCCCAGAACTCATACGGGAAGATATATGTTTTCAAATGTGAATTTTTATATCTTGACAGTCAAACTGAACAACCTATCCAGGCCTGGAACCAAGAACAGAAGGGATCGTTTGAAGAAGACACAAAACCGCACATCACGGACAAATTCTAACAAACCCGAGAGCAAACCCCGACCATCTAGCTCTGAGCGAACATCCAAATCTCGACAAGGGAAATAATTAATAATCTCAAATATCATGTACATTCTAATTTTTTTTTTTATACACAAGCTGTCTGCTTTTATGAAAAAGTCATACTTGTAAAACAGTGAATGCCAAACTAACATAATATATTCAATAGTTTTTTTTTCTTCTAGATTTATTTTACAAGTTTCAATAAAAACTACTAAATAAATATAACAAAAGATATCAAACAGACCTAAATAAAATAAAATAATTAGAACAATAAATGTTTAAACTACAAATTATTAACAATTCACATATCAAAATTAGAATTAAATATTCACTGTACTGGTTCCTGTGCACCCATTTTTTTTTTTGGGGGGGGGGGGGGGGGGGCCTCACTGCCCCTAACCAGTAAGTGGTAAAGGTGACGTGCTCACTGCCCCCTAACCAGTAAGTGGTAAAGGTGACGTATCAGGTGTATGTCCTTCAAAGTTGTAGTGCATCTGCTTGAGAATCAATAAACCAACAGTCTGCATATAAATAAGACAGATCTTTAAAAGAGATATGCACACAAAACTCAAGTTCTAGAAAAATATCAACATCCAGATGTAGGCGAACAATGAGAACTTTCAACTGAGTTCAAAACAGATGCTAAAAAGAATTCAAAATAATACATAATTAGTCAGTTTTGTAGGAGAAAAAAACCCAGCAACAATCACTAGAAATATGATGCCCCATTGTGTGAGCATATGTCAAACTTTGTAGTCGGTCATTAAACACTGTGTGAAAATAGCATTGGTTACCTCAGAAGATAAAATTTTTTGGTAATTACATATCTGGAATTGATTGGCACTAGTAGAAATGTACAACACATCTATAGTTGCTGCTCTTGGCACCTTTCCAGACAACAACGTTATATTGTGCTATGGGAAGTCATGGCGGTCTCAGCCAGTGATGATGGCAAGTGTGACTAGAAAGACCCACCCAAGTTATGAAGAACCATCAAATGTATTTAGTGTACTCAGACGCTCAGCTCTCAACCAGTTTTTCCTCTGTCTGACACAGATACAGTACACTTTTTTTTGTTAACCCACATTTTCTCTCTCTCTCTCTCTATGAACATTTAGTTTTTGACTTGATTAAGCATGTAGACAAGTTTCACTGTTCCATTTGACGATAAAACTGTGATTCGTGCATACCCTATCACAGGTATCAGACCACATGCATGTCGAACAGAGAAAACGGGGTGTGGGGGTGGAGGCGGGGAGATTAAATCCAGTTTAAGAGAATAATAATAATAATTATGCACTGCACTGATACATTATAAAATATTAAAATCAAATAAAAAATTGTAATGACTATCTTTAATGAGAATTTCTACATGTGGTTAAAGAAGGCTTTTCAGCCTCTTTATAAAATTATATATTACTAGATTTACCGGCCCAGGATGGTGGGAGAAAGTTTTATTCTTAACTTGGTCTCCACTGCTGTCCTATATGTAGTAGAAACTTCACAGAGGAACGAACGCAACACGAGCTTCCCTCTATCTGACGCAGCACTTTTATTTTTAAACCTGCATATTTCTCTCTCTCTCTTTCTGAGCATTTACAAGACAGAACAATTGGTAATGTGAATAAAATCAAACTACAAATGTATAATAAAAAGACAGCGCTTCTGAATGAAGAGAGAGGGAGAGAGAGAGATGTCACCGAATTTTAATGACAGGAAAGAAAAACCAATGAATTTCAAAATTAAACATATAATATAAAAACAATACCCACAAAAGTCATGGAAGACAAAGGTCCAATATAACATTCTACTTTGGTATTGACTTGCTTTTTGATCACTGTTCAAATACTTCTTCAAAAATAAATCTGCTACAAAATTCTGCCAGTCCAAGTTTAAAATAATTAGACCTCAATAGTTTATGTTAACACAAACGATCATAATTTAGACAACATCACAGAGCAGCAAAAGCCACAGCATAAAAATCTCTCAAATGTATAGGAATATAATTACAACATATTAAACGTACAAAGTCATGTTGATGAACAGTCTCTGGTATATGCTCTCAGCAGTCATTTTATACGGCGCTTTTTTTCCCAAATGATTTTGTTTTATACCACGTGTTTACATGGTGTTTTAAAATGAATTGATTTGAGATATTAAAATGTGAATCTATATGGTGATTTTGATTATGATTTTATATGTTGTTTTTAAATACAATTTTATATAGGGGTTCTAAATATGAGTGTATATGGTGGTTTTAAATATGATTTTATATGGTGGTGGTATTAAAAAAGATTTTATATGAGATTCTAAGGAATTTTAGATGTGCTTTTTGGAACTAAATCAATGTATGATTACGTGTGTAGCACCACTTATTTTATACATAATACTACTAAATAAAAATACTAAAATCATCAAAATATGTCTAGCTAGAGAAAGTTGATCAAATTAGGGACCACAGAAACCAGCCAGGCTGAAATGTGCACCCCCACCAAGTGGAATGTGTTGTCCTAGATCAGGGCTTGTCAACTGTCGGTCCGCTGGCCAGATTTAGCCTGTGCAGACCTGGCAAGTGGCCCATGGAATAATGCTCAGTTTATTGCATTAGTGATCTGTCTATTCTGGGGGCTTGGACCTTTGGCCCACGAAGATCCTCTCTTTCAGCATGTAAGCCCCCAAGCAAACCTAGTTGAATAGCCCTGTACTAGATAATAATAATGGGCAGACAAATTATTTTGATTCAAAAATTTTAGGGAATAAAACTGCTACAGCCAAATGTCAACCTATCGGAAAAATCATCTGATATGTTGAATTCATTGTCAGAAATGAGTACATTTGTCCAGGATAATTATGTAAATACCCATTTGTCCAGGATAACTGTTTAAACACCAATTTGGCCAGGATAACTGTGTAAACACCCATTTGTTCAGGACAATGTAAACACCTATTTGTTCAGGATGACAATGAAAACACCCATTTGTCCAGGATAAATATGGAAATACCCATTTGTTCAGGATGACAATGAAAACACCCATTTGTCCAGGATAACTATGTAAACACCCATTTGTCCAGGATAACTATGAAAACACCCATTTGTCAAGGATAACTATGAAAACACCCATTTGTCAAGGATAACTATGAAAACACCCATTTGTCAAGGATAACTATGAAAACATCTATTTGTCTATGATAACTATGAAAACACCCATTTGTCAAGGATAACTATGAAAACAACATAACAATTCTGGGTAAAAATTTGATTTGATCTTGTACTGAAGTCATCAATCATTTGTTCAGATCAGATCTGTGTTAACAATATTTTTTTGATCTTGTACTAAGTCAACAATCATATGCTCAGGTCAGATCTTTGCTTCAGCATCTATTTGTTCAGGATAATCCTGGAGTGACAGTGTGTTTTTGATCTTGTTTCAGTGTAACATTTACACAACCCTTCTTTTAATTGATCTCATCTGATCACAAATCTGTCTCCAAATATATGTTGCCAATAGAATCTGCCGAATGGCAGCCTGTCTCAATGTCTTGAAGACACTGTCTCAGGAGGCTGGCATAAGCCTGTCGTTCTAGCTGAAGATTGTGGTAAGCATGCACATAGTCCCTGGCATTTCTGGTCAAGTCAGTAAGCACTTTGTTGTTGCCGAGCAGCTCTTCTGCTTTCTCCAGAAAAGTCTGATAAAGAATAATTCATTGTTTTATGTACAGATAACATACAAACACAAACAATGACATATAAACATTTACTGATTCAATACAACAGACAAATATAAATATGTATTCTTTTGCGTGGTTAGCATATCCTGCTGCCATATCTGCAGCTTTCAACTCAACACCGCTTATTTCAGCAATCCCTTAATAATTTGTCTGTTTCAACAGCGTGTTGTCAACTCTGTCACCCCAAGACGCTATGAACAGGGTGATTCCTCATTGCCATAAATGCTGTTTACACAGCATTTCAGCTGTGGCATGTCCCTGAGAAGCCTAGTTAACAGCACTTCTGCTTTGTCATGTCCCTGAGAAGCCTTGTTAACAGCACTTCTGCTGTCTCATGTCCCTGAAAAGCCTAGTTAACAGCACTTCAGTTTTGTCATGTCCCTGAGAAGCCTAGTTAACAGCACTTCTGCTGTGGCATGTCCCTGAGAAGCCTAGTTAACAGCACTTCAGCTTTGTCATGTCCCTGAGAAGCCTAGTTAACAGCACTTCAGCTTTGTCATGTCCCGGAGAAGCCTAGTTAACAGCACTTCAGCTTTTTCATGTCCCGGAGAAGCCTAGTTAACAGCACTTCAGCTTTGTCATGTCCCTGAGAAGCCTAGTTAACAGCACTTCTGCTGTGGCATGTCCCTGAGAAGCCTAGTTAATAGCATTAGGTTATGTTTGCACCTGCGCAGAATTTCTCAGGTCTGAATATGAATACATTAACTAAAATAATAGTGGAGTTTTTCTTGATACAGTCTTGATAACCTTTAGAAAACGTCTGTTCAGTGTATGGATTATTTACAACACACTGAACAGATGTTTGCTAAAAGTGATCGAGGCTGTACCAATAAAATATAGTGAGTGGGAGGTGGGGTTTATTTTAGTAAGTTGCATATCCTTGACAGGACATTGCAGAACCAACCCTAGCATTTGTGTGTGTGTGTGGTTTCTGTGGCTTTTTTCCAGGCAAATTTTATATTCAGTAGTTTGCCACTGCCCCTGAACGGTCAGCTCTCAGTACCAGGGTCGAAACTAACAGAAGACAAATCATCCGCAGCAAAAAATACCAGCACTCCAGCATTACGTTTGCAACGCCCAAGCCACAGGCGTGTTTAAAGCCCCTTTTACATTTTAATTTTCAAAAAGCATTATTAGTGACCTGTGTCGAATGGTTGCCTTTGTAAGGAATTCTCACGGGTGCCTGTCTTTTTAAAGAGAAACTCCACAAAGGCAAACCCTACAACAGCATGATGTGCCTACTGTCGAGGCAGCGAAAAGAAGAACCTTCTATCTCCTTAGACACCAAAAAGAGGAAGTGAATAAAAAGAAGAAGGGATAAATATTTTGTCAGATAATTAACTACATGCAGACAAAAACATATCTCTCTCCTTCTGCACTTGCCCTGAGAAAGGTCGCACATTGCGTTGTGGTTTACAACTAGGCTACAATGCCTGTGACATGGTGTAATCAAATATACATAATATAAAAATATGAATATAATATCTAGAACATTAAAACCCTAACAATTTAGGAACAGAAAATGTAAAGGACCCTTTTCCATGCCATGTGGACGGACATACAGTAGTATACCTATATTTTATAGACCAATCAGCACTCAGTAGGTGACCTAGTCAACAACACAATGGCCACTTTTACTTCCCATGACTTTACCTGCTACCCATTTTAGGCTGGGTCGCCACAGCAGCCAAGGTCATTTTAGAAAAAAAAAATCTGGCTTGATGCAGCTTTGAATCTACGGCCGCCAAACAAAACCCCATCCCTCAATATAAAAAATGTGTTTAACAAAAAAACAAATTTGAAAAAAAAAAAGGAAAAATACATTTTATATATTTAAAATCAAGAATACAACCTCTGGTGAATCAAACAAATGGCCAGTGTGGCTATCGCTGATAATGGCTTTGTTTGCTGGACAGTCTCTGGCAAGTACGGGAATTCCCAGATGCATGGCCTGACAAATTGAAATGATCAGATTTCTTTCAATACTAATATAATAAAATAAGATATGAATATTTGGAGAGCCTAATTCCACATAAAAAATTAGAATTATCTAATTTATACATACTCAACCCTAATATAAACCTGGACAATAATTAAAATTATGTCCAAATACAGCATTAGAGAAATGGATAAAGAAAAAGACAGGTCATAGTTCATTGAAATAAAAAACATCAAATACAGTTTATAGAGTGACAGTGAAAGAAAAGAGAGTTCTCATTAATGAAAAAATAAGACAAAAGCAACGTTTCAGGCGATTGAAAAGAATTTCACCTTACCCAAAAAAAATACTGAAGAGAAATGCTGAGAGAAGGTGAGCGAGCGGTCGAAAATATCACAAGTGGATAAATAACATCAAGAAAAAGCAAAGGCAAAAAAACAAAAAGCTGGAGATCCATTGTAGCTATCTGGCGATCCATTGTAGCCATCTGGCAATCCATTGTAGCCATCTGGTGATCCATTGTAGCAATCTGGCGATCCATTGTAGCCATCTGATGATCCATTGAAGCCATCTGGTGATTCACTGTAGCCATCTGGCGATCCATTGTAGCCATCTGGTGATCCATTGTAGCCATCTGGTGATCCATTATAGCAATCTGGCGATCCATTGTAGCCATCTGGTGATCCATTGTAGCCATCTGGTGATCCATTGTAGCCATCTGGTGATCCACTGTAGCCATCTGGTGATCCAGTGTAGCCAGCTGATGATCCATTGTAGCCATCTGGCAATCCATTGTAGCCATCTGGCTATCCATTGTAGCCATCTGGTGATCCACTATAGCCATCTGGCGATCCAGTGTAGCCAGCTGATGATCCAATGTAGCCATCTGGTGATCTATTGTAGCTAATCTTCTTTCTGGAGACTGCCCATGATGGTTTGTAGCCAAGCATGTGTCTACTTCTAGTCTAGCCATACACATTTTTACCTCTAGCACACATGCCTACCTCCAGAACAGCCAAACACATGCCTTCTTCTAGCGCAGCCACATACATGCCTACCTCTAGTATGACCACACACATGCTTACCTCTAGTATAGCCACACACATGCCTACCTCTAGTATAGCCATTTAAAAACCTTCTGACAGTCACACACATGCCTACCTCTAGCATAGCCCCACACATGCCTACCTCTAGTACAGCCACACACATGCCTACCTCTAGTACAGCCACACACATGCCTACCTCTAGTACAGCCAAACACATGCCTACCTCTAGTACAAACACATGCCTACCTCTAGTACAGCCAAACACACGCCTACCTCTAGTTTAGTCAAACACACGCCTACCTCTAGTACAGCCAAACACAAGCCTACCTCTAGTACAGCCAAACACATGCCTACCTCTAGTATAGCCAAATACATGCCTACCTCTAGTACAGCGAAACACATGCCTACCTCTAGTACAGCCACACACATGCCTATCTCTAGTACAGCCACACATGCACCTACCTATAGTACAGCCAAATACGCGCCTACCTCTAGTACAGCCAAACACACGCCTACCTCTAGTACAGCCAAACACATGCCTACCTCTAGAACAGCCAAACACATGCCTACCTCTAGTAAAGCTAAACACATGCCTACCTCTAGTACAGCCACACACATGCCTTTCTCTAGTACAGCCACACACACGCCTAACTCTAGTACAGCCAAACACACGCCTACCTCTAGTACAGCCAAACACATGCCTACCTCTAGTACAGCCAAACATATGCCTACCTCTAGTACAAACACATGCCTACCTCTAGTACAGCCAAACACACGCCTACTTCTAGTATAGCCAAACACACGCCTACCTCTAGTATAGCCAAACACACGCCTACCTCTAGTATAGCCAAACACATGCCTACCTCTAGTACAGCCAAACACATGCCTACCTCTAGTACAGCCAAACACATGCCTACCTCTAGTACAGCCGAACACACGCCTACCTCTAGTACAGCCAAACACACGCCTACGTCTAGTAAAGCCAAACACACGCCTACCTCTAGTATAGCCAAACACATGCCATCCTCTAGTACAGCAAAACACATGCCTACCTCTAATATAGCCAAACACACGCCTATCTCTAGTATAGCCAAACACCTGCCTACCTCTAGTATAGGCAAACGCATGCCTACCTCTATACAGCCAAACACATGCCTACCTCTAGTACAGCCAAAAACATGCCTACCTCTAGTACAGCCAAATACAAGCCTACCTCTAGTACAGCCAAACACAAGCCTACCTCTAGTACAGCCAAACACATGCCTACCTCTAGTACAGCCAAACACATATTTACCTCTAGTACAGCCAAACACATGCCCACCTCTGGTATAGGCAAACACATGCCTACCTCTAGTATAGCCAAATACATGCCACCCTCTAGTACAGAAAACACATGCCTACCTCTAGTACAGCGAAACACATGCCTACCTCTAGTACAGCCACACACACGCCTACCTCTAGTACAGCCAAACACACACCTACCTCTAGTACAGCCAAACACATGCCTACCCCTAGTACAGCCAAACATATGCCTACCTCTAGTAAAAACACATACCTACCTCTAGTACAGCCAAACACATGCCTACCTCTGGTATAGCCAAACACACGCCTACCTCTAGTATAGCCAAACACATGCCTATCTCTAATATAGCCAAACACATGCCTACCTCTAATATAGCCAAACACCTGCCTATCTCTAGTATAGCCAAACACCTGCCTACCTCTAGTATAGCCAAACACCTGCCTACCTCTAGTACAGCCAAACACATGCCTACCTCTAGTACAGCCAAACACATGACTACCTCTAGTACAGCCAAACACATGCCTACCTCTAGTACAGCCAAACACATGACTACCTCTAGTACAGCCAAACACATGCCTACCTCTAGTATAGCCAAACACATGCCTACCTCTAGTACAGCCAAACACATGACTACCTCTAGTACAGCCAAACACATGCCTACCTCTAGTACAGCCAAACACCTGCCTACCTCTAGTACAGCCAAACACCTGCCTACCTCTAGTACAGCCAAACACACGCCTACCTCTAGTAAAGCCAAACACACGCCTACCTCTATTATAGCCAAACACATGCCATTCTCTAGTACAGCAAAACACATGCCTACCTCTATTATAGCCAAACACACGCCTATCTCTAGTATAGCCAAACACCTGCCTACCTCTAGTATAGGCAAACACATGCCTACCTCTATACAGCCAAACACATGCCTACCTCTAGTACAGCCAAACACATGCCTACCTCTATTACAGCCAAACACAAGCCTACCTCTAGTACAGCCAAACACAAGCCTACCTCTAGTACAGCCAAACACATATCTACCTCTAGTACAGCCAAACACATGCCTACCTCTGGTATAGCCAAACACACGCCTACCTCTAGTATAGCCAAATACATGCCACCCTCTAGTACAGAAAACACATGCCTACCTCTAGTACAGCCAAACACATGCCTACCTCTAGTATAGCCAAACACATGCCTACCTCTAGTACAGCCAAACACCTGCCTACCTCTAGTACAGCCAAACACCTGCCTACCTCTAGTACAGCCAAACACACGCCTACCTCTAGTAAAGCCAAACACACGCCTACCTCTATTATAGCCAAACACATGCCATTCTCTAGTACAGCAAAACACATGCCTACCTCTATTATAGCCAAACACACGCCTATCTCTAGTATAGCCAAACACCTGCCTACCTCTAGTATAGGCAAACACATGCCTACCTCTATACAGCCAAACACATGCCTACCTCTAGTACAGCCAAACACATGCCTACCTCTATTACAGCCAAACACAAGCCTACCTCTAGTACAGCCAAACACAAGCCTACCTCTAGTACAGCCAAACACATATCTACCTCTAGTACAGCCAAACACATGCCTACCTCTGGTATAGCCAAACACACGCCTACCTCTAGTATAGCCAAATACATGCCACCCTCTAGTACAGAAAACACATGCCTACCTCTAGTACAGCCAAACACATGCCTGCCTCTAGTACAGCCAAACACAAGCCTACCTCTAGCATTGCCAAACACATGCCTACCTCTAGTACAGCACACACATGCCTACATCTAGTATAGCCAAACACATGCCTACCTCTAGTATAGCCAAACACATGCCTACCTCTAGTATAGCCAAACACATGCCTACCTCTAGTATAGCCAAACACATGCCTTCACTGTCAGAAGTGTTCACAAGGGCAAAGGACTGGGATATAACAGCATGGGCATCCTCAACGGGCAGACCTGGGATGTAGACAATGCCTGGTCGTCTGTGGGCAGATTTCAATGGTGTCTGATGTTGAAAGTAAAGCAAGTAAAGAGTCCTTTTCGTGTCTTGATTCTAGTCCCTACTTTTAAAGTCCAACTGAGATTCAGTGTGTTGGTTAGTTGATACACTGTCTTCACTACATATGGAACTATTCTTGTGAGCACAGTGTTGATGCACCGGGTCAGCATTCCTTTCTTAATGGGCTGACTCATGAAGAGAACTGATGCCCAAATCAGAAAGAGACAATCTACATATTTGTAGTCGAGGAGAAAACTGGAGTACATCATGACAGCAGAAAAGTTGAAGGGGAGAAGAGGCAGAGAGAGACCGAGAGAAAAGATGCCAGACAGTCTGACATCATGGCATGGAGGATCATCTGTGTCAGAGTTTACTGAAAGTAAACAAGACAGAAGGTTGTGGATAGACATGACTACCAACTATCAAATATGCAAACAACGAGGAATGGAGAGTGAGAAGCAACAACGAAATTCACAGTCTGTTTAAATCACCATTGATCACTGGCATTATAAGATCAAATAGACTGAAATGGCTGGGGCATATCGAGAGAATGTCAAATGACAGAGAAGTAAAAACTATACACAAGGAAGCTAAATGGTCACAGACCATGAGGTAGAACAAGAAGGCGATGGAGAGATTAACATCCAGACAGACCTGAAAACACTTGGTGTCACCAACTGGAAAGAGAAGGCCAACCAGAGAACGAACGGACATCTTACAATCTGCCATTTCAAACATCAATTTTTCACACAGGATTGTATTTTTTTCTTATCAATAAAGACTGCTTTGTTCATGTGATAATATGCATATTATGAATATCAAGCAAAAACACAAAAGCATGGGTGGTAAAAGAGATAAGTGGAGCCGGTTGATATCGGCAGCAAAAAACCTCAAGAGTTCGGAATGCTGAATAGGAAGTTAGCGATGTCTGTTGTGCCCTGTCCTTAGTCTAAATATAAGGCGCTGTCCCTCTCTAGAGAGACGATGAAGCGAAGATTGAGGCAAAAAATTTGGTGTGTATATCTAGCCACATTTTTTTTATACAAGACTGTATTAATGACTCAATCTCTTGGTGGGTTAAGTCACTATTTGACTGCACCATGTCACTGCCACTTCTGGCCAATCTGTTCACTATTTCATTGCCTTCCAAGCCACAGTGACCTGGAATCCACTGCAGTACAGATTGATCTACTGAAGAGCCTAAGTGAATCAACTGTTACATCGAGTCTAAAAACTGTGTGTCTTTAACCATATGTGATCTGTGACTGTCCATGTGTACGCAACAACTCTGCATGTTCAGGTATCCTTTACCCTTGGCTGGATATACAACAACAAAAATAGGATAACTGTAACATGTCCCATTATTAGTGCCTGTTTTTCCATGTCTGACCGGTAAAAATTAACCGTTTGCCATAGTGACACCGCTCATTGCGTGCATCATTCAGCAGAATTTTAGCTCACTACACACCAACCTATAGTCACATTTAAGCAGCAAATGATTAAACATGGATACAGTTACTGCTTTTATGGCCCTTGTAATATACTGGTGGTTTTTTTCCCCTCATTTTTTCTGCCGTCTTGGATATCTGCTATTAAAACTCCTTGGAGAGAAAAAGTTAATATTCAGCAACAGATTTCTGTAACTGTGCCACAGCTTTTTAAAATGATACAGTAATTCAGTCTTTTGGCAAACAAGAGGTTAAGCTAAGGGTACTAACCCCCTAAAAGATATATGGACACATCCTCACAGCAACACAGTTTAGAAAGCTCTGGTCTACACAGTAATATTGTAACTATCATCATCATCATGTGCCTGAACTTACTTCTTGATGGCTGGTTCAAACACGGTGGCTGTGAATGTGGCATCTAACTGGTAGAGAAAAATACAGATAACAGTGTGAAACCAAAGACATGTGAACTCAAGTAGGGACATAACAGCTGAACTTATTTACTGACAAAGTGAGTATTGTCTCAGATGTACTCAAAGTACTGTCTCACACACACTGGCTCAAATGCCCTCACAGAGTACTGTCTCCCATGCAACAACAGAGTACGGTCTAATAATATATGCAATAAGAGAGTACTGTCTCACATGACACCAATCTTCAAATAACTTTTAGATGCTATTATTCAAAGAAAGAAAGGAAGGAAAATAGAAGGTTAGATGGAAGAAAAGAGATAAAGTGGTAAATAACATATTTAAAAAAATAGTTTTAAGAAAAGCTTACTTTTGGTCCCACTATGAGATAAATAATTCTGTTATTCCTGGCATGCCAGTCTACAAAAGAGAACACAAATCTTAGCATGCCAGTTTGTCACAGTCATTATTGTTACAACATGAAACACACAGCAGACTGCCACTTCTAGTGCCCAGTAATAACTCCAGTTTAGAAAAATCCTAGATACAAGAATTAACAGTTTACACAGAAATAATATATGGCTACCCAAAAAAAAAAGTTAATTTCAATTTTTTAAGTCATTTCAACCATTCTGCTTTTTTTTGTGTGTTTGTGTGTGTGTGTGTATGTGTGAGAACTTGAACACTCTGCTAAAGAAGTTGTGCTGCTTGCTCAAACAAATTTACTAACTGGACAATAAATCAAATGAGTGTTAAGTGTGTGTACATCTAAGGTCAACCAAATCTACATGGCGGAAAGGGAAATAATGCATGTTTGAAAATTCTTCCTGTGGCAAAGTCTGTGATAACACTGCTGAAATCTGCTTTTCATGCTTTGTCAGGACTAAAGTAAACATCTCACCCATTTTTCTGAAGGAATGGACAATCGGTATCGGTATGTTTGTAATATTTTACTATATTTTAGCCATGGCTCAGTGAAGCGGCGTCCGTGGCTAAGGCATTGCGAGTCCGACTCGTAAGCCAGCATACCGCGATCGAAACCCACTGCAGGCTGCGTGGATTTTTGACGTGGTATGGGACGTCGCACGTCGACCCAGCCTAAAATGGGTACCAGGATGAGCTGTCCTGGGAAAGTAAAGACAGCCGGCGTAATGCTGACCACATTACCCACCGAGTGCTGATGGTCTGTAAAAATATGGGACGCTCTGCCCATATGCCCGATGCGCCGAAAGGCGTGAAAAGGGATTTTTACTTTTTTTTTTTTTCAGTGAAGATACTTGACGGATGTTGACAGACTGTGAGCGACAGCATGGCAGCAGAATGATGTAGGGCTGCAAGAAGTTGCTAGGAAATTAGGAGTTTTCCACTTTGTCATAAAAACTCTGTATGAATTGTTGTAATGCAACCAGCACTTTCACAGAACTATGCAGGCTAGGACATCAAAAGCACAATAATCTGTAAGTGGGCTTTCAATTTTCTGTTTGCAGTAATTTCTTTTTACTGTGCTCTCCAATATAATCCTTTTATATAACAATCTCTTTAAAATCATCATTTTACAATAATCTTCAAAACCACCCTTCTTTAGCAGTGTTCAATAATCTATCAATCAAGTGCAGTCCACACAATTAAGGTTGGCTTGCAATGGCTTCAGTAATATCCTCTTCTTTTTATCAGACTACAGATGCGGTTAGGGCCCTTTGGGAGCGAGTGAACAGTGAGGAGGTACAAATAGATCTTTACGGTCTAAGGAGAATGGCGCTGCAGGTAGTTACCAGGGGATCTGGTCGACGCTCAACACTCAAGGGAAGCGAGACAAATCTACAATCAGACAGTCACTGGACCATCGCAATTGGAACTCTTAGCTTGCTGCTGAAGATGGGGACGAGCGCTTATGGGGGTGTCCCAAACGCTGTGATGTTGATTTTTAATTCAACATTTATTAGATTAATCAACATTTGAACAGTAATGCTATCAACATCAGGCCGACCACCTTTTCTTCCAAAGAAATATTACCACTAACCATATTAGGTTCCACTGAGGCAAGACCAAATTCAATTTTCTTAAGGCTGCTTTAACCCATTGACTACCAAGCCCGTTAACCCTTGCACTTTCGCAGATACCGTGTATTTTAGTGTGTACTAAAAATGCCATAGCTTCACAACTATAATACATAAATACCGTCAGTTTTACAATATTGCCTCTTGTCAAGGCAGGGCAGTTACAGTAGTGCCGCGGCTAGATTTCTTGCCTCTCCACCTGGAGGTTGAGGATTTTCTTCTTCTTTGTTCACTGGCTGTAAGGTCCAGCAGAAAGTCCTGGTTGTTCTCCATTAGGACTTTGACTTTGTACCAGAGCCTGAGTTTTGCATGTACATCCATTTCATGGGCTTTATGAGTTGTTGGTTGTTCCTTCCCGCTCAGGCAGATGCAGTCTGACTTAGAAAGAAGCTCCCAATTACTCTTACAACATGATTTTTGGGGAGGCAGTGGGTCTATTCTTGTTTTCCCACGCTGGGGCCCTGAAGCCCACACAGGGAGTTCTTTATTTGAATTCATATTAACTCTCACAGTCTCATAACTCTAAAAAGAAGAAGAAGACAATGTTTCTAAACTACTGCAACATTCGGTATGGCTAAATTATTTAAAGTTTCAGAAACATTATGCTGTTTATGAGCTGTCACTATTCGTTTCAGAAACATTATGCTGTTTATGAGCTGTCACTATTTGTTTCAGAAACATTACACTGTTTATGAGCTGACACTATTCGTTTCAGAAACATTATACTGTTTATGAGCTGTCACTATTCGTTTCAAAAACAACATACTGTTTATGAGCTGTCACTATTCACTTTCAGATCTTGTAGAATGTCAGTATTTTTTTCCCTCAGCATTCAAAGAATTTGTCTGTAATATTAAATCTAAAAAGCCCTGATTCTCCAACTTCATCATCATGTGCCATGCCGATTGGCCTAGGTAGTCATGCTACGCCATCTCATACGATCACAAGAATTTCAGATCAGGTCAGTGTTTTTGTCCCACCTCATCCACGTATGCTGCACCAAAACACCTATAGCTTAGTAGCTTAGGCAGCAAAACCTTAGCCTTCTGTCAAAATGTGGAAATTGCATTCGCAAACCATTGCCAGAAAACCCCCCCCCCCCCCCCCCCCCCCCCCCCCCAAAAGAAAAAAAAATGTCAGGCTAATGCTGCTTTGCCTATCTGCCATTCCATGTAGTTAGTGACTGCAAAACGTCTATGACCCACATCCAAATGTTGCCAGAAGAAAAAAGCTTCTCTAAATGTTTACTCCTAGTCTGTTTGCTAGTGTGGTGCTACTCCTCTTCTGTTTGCTAGCGTGGTGTTACTCCTCTTCTGTTTGCTAGTGTGGTGTTACTATTCTTCTGTTTGCTAGTGTGGTGCTACTCCTCTTCTGTTTGCTAGTGTGGTGTTACTATTCTTCTGTTTGCTAGTGTGGTGCTACTACTTTTCTGTTTGCTAGTGTGGTGCTACTCCTCTTCTGTTTGCTAGCATGGTGTTACTATTCTTCTGTTTGCTAGTGTGGTGCTACTCCTCTTCTGTTTGCTAGTGTGGTGCTACTCCTCTTCTGTTTGCTAGTGTGGTGTTACTATTCTTCTGTTTGCTAGTGTGGTGCTACTCCTCTTCTGTTTGCTAGTGTGGTGCTACTCCTCTTCTGTTTGCTAGTGTGGTGCTACTCCTCTTCTGTTTGCTAGTGTGGTGCTACTCCTCTTCTGTTTGCTAGTGTGGTGCTACTCCTCTTCTGTTTGCTAGTGTGGTGCTACTCCTCTTCTGTTTGCTAGTGTGTGCTGCTACTCCTCTTCTGTTTGCTAGTGTGGTGCTACTCCTCTTCTGTTTGCTAGTGTGGTGCTACTCCTCTTCTGTTTGCTAGTGTGGTGCTACTCCTCTTCTTCTGTTTGCTAGTGTGGTGCTACTCCTCTTCTGTTTGCTAGTGTGGTGCTACTCCTCTTCTGTTTGCTAGTGTGGTGCTACTCCTCTTCTGTTTGCTAGTGTGGTGCTACTCCTCTTCTGTTTCTGCTAGTGTGTTACTCCTCTTCTGTTTGCTAGTGTGTGTGGTGCTACTCCTCTTCTGTTTGCTAGTGTGGTGCTACTCCTCTTCTGTTTGCTAGTGTGGTGCTACTCCTCTTCTGTTTGCTAGTGTGGTGCTACTCCTCTTCTGTTTGCTAGTGTGGTGCTACTCCTCTTCTGTTTGCTAGTGTGGTGCTACTCCTCTTCTGTTTGCTAGTGTGGTGCTACTCCTCTTCTGTTTGCTAGTGTGGTGCTACTCCTCTTCTGTTTGCTAGTGTGGTGCTACTCCTCTTCTGTTTGCTAGTGTGGTGCTACTCCTCTTCTGTTTGCTAGTGTGGTGCTACTCCTCTTCTGTTTGCTAGTGTGGTGCTACTCCTCTTCTGTTTGCTAGTGTAGTGCTACTCCTTCTTCTGTTTGTGCTACTCCTCTTCTGTTTGCTAGTGTGGTGCTACTCCTCTTCTGTTTGCTAGTGTGGTGCTACTCCTCTTCTGTTTGCTAGTGTGGTGCTACTCCTCTTCTGTTTGCTAGCGTGGTGCTACTCTCTTCTGTTTGCTAGTGTGGTGCTTCTGTTTGCTAGTGTGGTGCTACTCCTCTTCTGTTTGCTAGTGTGGTGCTACTCCTCTTCTAGTGTTTGCTACTCCTTTTCTGTTTGGTGTGGTACTACTCCTCTTCTGTTTGCTAGCGTGCTACTCCTTTTCTGTTTGCTAGTGTGGTGCTATCCTCTTCTGTTTGCTAGCGTGGTGCTACTCCTTTTCTGTTTGCTACTATTCTTCTGTTTGCTAGCGTGGTGTTTTACGGTGCTTCTTCTGTTTGCTAGCGTGGTGTTACTATTCTTCTGTTTGCTAGTGTGGTGCTACTCCTCTTCTGTTTGCTAGCGTGGTGTTACTATTCTTCTGTTTGCTAGCGTGGTGTTACTATTCTTCTGTTTGCTAGTGTGGTGTTACTATTCTTCTGTTTGCTAGCGCGGTGCTACTCCTCTTCTGTTTGCTAGCGTGGTGCTACTCCTCTTCTGTTTGCTAGCGTGGTGTTACTATTCTTCTGTTTGCTAGTGTGGTGTTACTATTCTTCTGTTTGCTAGTGTGGTGTTACTATTCTTCTGTTTTCTAGTGTGGTGTTACTATTCTTCTGTTTGCTAGTGTGGTGTTACTATTCTTCTGTTTGCTAGTGTGGTGTTACTATTCTTCTGTTTGCTAGTGTGGTGTTACTATTCTTCTGTTTGCTAGCGTGGTGTTACTATTCTTCTGTTTGCTAGTGTGGTGTTACTATTCTTCTGTTTGCTAGCGTGGTGTTACTATTCTTCTGTTTGCTAGTGTGGTGTTTCTATTCTTCTGTTTGCTAGTGTGGTGCTACTCCTCTTCTGTTTGCTAGCGTGGTGTTACTATTCTTCTGTTTGCTAGCGTGGTGTTACTATTCTTCTGTTTGCTAGCGTGGTGTTACTATTCTTCTGTTTGCTAGTGTGGTGCTACTCCTCTTCTGTTTGCTAGCGCGGTGCTACTCCTCTTCTGTTTGCTAGCGTGGTGTTACTATTCTTCTGTTTGCTAGCGTGGTGTTACTATTCTTCTGTTTGCTAGCGTGGTGTTACTATTCTTCTGTTTGCTAGTGTGGTGCTACTCCTCTTCTGTTTGCTAGCGTGGTGTTACTATTCTTCTGTTTGCTAGCGTGGTGTTACTATTCTTCTGTTTGCTAGCGTGGTGTTACTATTCTTCTGTTTGCTAGTGTGGTGCTACTCCTCTTCTGTTTGCTAGCGTGGTGTTACTATTCTTCTGTTTGCTAGCGTGGTGTTACTATTCTTCTGTTTGCTAGTGTGGTGTTACTCCTCTTCTGTTTGCTAGCGCGGTGCTACTCCTCTTCTGTTTGCTAGTGTGGTGCTACTCCTCTTCTGTTTGCTAGTGTGGTGTTACTCCTCTTCTGTTTGCTAGCGCGGTGCTACTCCTCTTCTGTTTGCTAGCGCGGTGCTACTCCTCTTCTGTTTGCTAGTGTGGTGCTACTCCTCTTCTGTTTGCTAGTGTGGTGCTACTCCTCTTCTGTTTGCTAGTGTGGTGCTACTCCTCTTCTGTTTGCTAGCGCGGTGCTACTCCTCTTCTGTTTGCTAGCGCGGTGCTACTCCTCTTCTGTTTGCTAGCGTGGTGTTACTATTCTTCTGTTTGCTAGTGTGGTGCTACTCCTCTTCTGTTTGCTAGTGTGATGCTACTCCTCTTCTGTTTGCTAGCGCGGTGCTACTCCTCTTCTGTTTGCTAGCGTGGTGTTACTATTCTTCTGTTTGCTAGTGTGGTGTTACTCCTCTTCTGTTTGCTAGTGTGGTGCTACTCCTCTTCTGTTTGCTAGTGTGGTGCTACTCCTCTTCTGTTTGCTAGCGCGGTGCTACTCCTCTTCTGTTTGCTAGCGCGGTGCTACTCCTCTTCTGTTTGCTAGCGCGGTGCTACTCCTCTTCTGTTTGCTAGCGTGGTGCTACTCCTCTTCTGTTTGCTAGTGTGGTGCTACTCCTTTTCTGTTTGCTTGCTAGTTTGCTAGGTGCTGCTACTCTTCTGTTTGCTAGCGTGGTGCTACTCCTCTTCTGTTTGCTAGTGTGGTGCTACTCCTTTTCTGTTTGCTAGTGTGGTGCTACTCCTCTTCTGTTTGTTAGCGTGGTGCTACTCCTCTTCTGTTTGCTAGTGTGGTGCTACTCCTTTTCTGTTTGCTAGTGTGGTGCTACTCCTCTTCTGTTTGTTAGCGTGGTGCTACTCCTCTTCTGTTTGCTAGTGTGGTGCTACTCCTTTTCTGTTTGCTAGTGTGGTGCTACTCCTCTTCTGTTTGCTAGTGTAGTGCTACTCCTTTTCTGTTTGCTAGTGTGGTGCTACTCCTCTTCTGTTTGCTAGCGTGGTGCTACTCCTCTTCTGTTTGTTAGCGTGGTGCTACTCCTCTTCTGTTTGCTAGTGTGGTGCTACTCCTAGTCTGTTTGCTAGTGTGGTGCTACTCCTAGTCTGTTTGCTAGCGTGGTGCTACTCCTCTTCTGTTTGCTAGTGTGGTGCTACTCCTCTTCTGTTTGCTAGTGTGGTGCTACTCCTCTTCTGTTTGCTAGTGTGGTGTTACTCCTCTTCTGTTTGCTAGCGCGGTGCTACTCCTCTTCTGTTTGCTAGCGCGGTGCTACTCCTCTTCTGTTTGCTAGTGTGGTGCTACTACTCTTCTGTTTGCTAGTGTGGTGCTACTCCTCTTCTGTTTGCTAGTGTGGTGCTACTCCTCTTCTGTTTGCTAGCGCGGTGCTACTCCTCTTCTGTTTGCTAGCGCGGTGCTACTCCTCTTCTGTTTGCTAGTGTGGTGCTACTCCTTTTCTGTTTGCTAGTGTGGTGCTACTCCTCTTCTGTTTGCTAGTGTAGTGCTACTCCTTTTCTGTTTGCTAGTGTGGTGCTACTCCTCTTCTGTTTGCTAGCGTGGTGCTACTCCTCTTCTGTTTGTTAGCGTGGTGCTACTCCTCTTCTGTTTGCTAGTGTGGTGCTACTCCTAGTCTGTTTGCTAGTGTGGTGCTACTCCTAGTCTGTTTGCTAGCGTGGTGCTACTCCTCTTCTGTTTGCTAGTGTGGTGCTACTCCTCTTCTGTTTGCTAGTGTGGTGCTACTCCTTTTCTGTTTGCTAGCGCGGTGCTACTCCTCTTCTGTTTGCTAGCGTGGTGCTACTCCTCTTCTGTTTGCTAGTGTGGTGCTACTCCTTTTCTGTTTGCTAGCGCGGTGCTACTCCTCTTCTGTTTGCTAGTGTGGTGTTACTATTCTTCTGTTTGCTAGTGTGGTGCTACTCCTAGTCTGTTTGCTAGTGCTGTGCTATAAGCTTTCCACACTGTTTACACACAATCCTAAGGACATAAAAGTAAAATAATAAAAAACAAATTAAAACCTTGAAATGCTGGCACAAGAAACAGTGGATTCTTCACCGGCCTGATGCCCCCTATGAAAGCAAAGATGATAGGCTTGAAGCCTGCACTGTAGCCAGACATGAGACCAGGGTGATGGTTGTCCAGATACGTCTGCAGGCAGAAACTTGAAGGGTCAGTCTTAACAGCTGCAGAGTCAAAGAATTTCATATGAAGCTTTTGTACAATAAAAAACTCAATGATGTTCCTGAGTCAAGACCTTTACCAATTCATCACTGTATCTGGAAAACTTAGCAGCAAAAATTAAACACAACAAAAACAAAACTTTAAAGAGAACAACTATTGATTTACTGTAGGCCAAACTATGCCATCTGATTCTGATTTGAGCTCTTATTATATATATGATTCGATCTGCTTAAGGCGAACTTTTTCAAATATAGTGAACCCCGATATTCACCTTTTTTTATAATATTTATCCAGTTTTTTCCTTGAAATTTGTATTTGATCTTCACCTCAAAAGTCTACATTTGTCATTCCTTCACCATAGCCATTGAGTTTTCAGACAAGAAAAAAAGAAGATGACAGGCCGGTTCCTACTACTGAAATCAACAAGTGGCTGTCCACTTGGGCAAAAATGTATGTTTGGCACCCAAAATCACTATAGTTAATCACTGTTTTAATTTATTAATTTATTTGATGAAAATGTGTTTGGACACTTTCGGATCATTTAAAAAAATAATAATAATAATAAAACACAAAACTAACTAATTTTTGTTTTTTAAACAAGTGCTGATGAATCATGTGAAAATGCTAATGAAATAGAAGGACATCAATAACCAGAAGTGACCTCAACTGTTGTCATAAAGGAAGGTAACTCTCCTTCCAAACAATGGGCATTTTTGTATCCAAAAGGAAGGAGCGTAGAATGAAGGAGAAGGGAATAAAGATAGTGAAGCAATACAGAAGAAGAGGAAGTGAAGGAAAAGAAGAATAGGAACAAGAAAAGGAAGAGAAAAGTAGAATGAATTACCTTGTGGAATGACTTTCATTTTATGTGGCTGAATTGCAGGCCAAAGCCACATAGCTCGCTTTTGATCTACTTTGCTGAAGCAAACCACAAATCTTGAACAGGAAATATAAAAGAAATAAACAATAATCATTCACATCATTTAAAGCATACAAAGTTGCTGTTGTTTAAAATATGTTTTCCATGTGTGTGTTCATGAGCACCATGTAAGGGGGGAAGAGGGGGGAGGGGGGTTATAGACTCAGTGTCCCCCCTAAAAAGCATGTCATAAAAGGCACCCCTTGAGTGCAAAACCATATCTTAAGTCACTGACTGAGAACCAGTTTGAGTCACTGACAGCGAGAACACAGCTTGAGTCATTCACTGTGAGAATACAGCTAGTCATTCACTGTGAGAACACAGCTTGAGTCACTGACTGTGAGAACAGAGCTTGAGTCACTGACTGTGAGAACACAGCTTGAGTCACTGACTGTGAGAACACAGCTTGAGTCATTGACTTTAAGAACACAGCTTGTGACATTGACTGTGAGAACACAGCTTGTGTCATTGACTTTAAGAACACAGCTTGTGACATTGACTGTGGGAACACAGCTTGTGACATTGACTGTGAGAACACAGCTTGTGACATTGACTTTAAGAACACAGCTTGTGAAATTGACTGTGAGAACATAGCTTAAGTCATTGACTGTGAGAACACAGCTTGTGACATTGACTGTGAGAACACAGCTTGTGACATTGATTTTGAGAACACAGCTTGTGACATTGACTGTGAGAACACAGCTTGTGACATTGACTGTGAGAACACAGCTTGTGACATTGACTGTGAGAACACAGCTTGTGACATTGACTGTGAGAACACAGCTTGTGTCATTGACTTTGAGAACACACTTTAAATTAGGAACTGTGTGGACACAATGAAAGCCAAGAGCAGGGAAAGCACAACTTAAACCATAAACTGTGAGGATATAACATACACCAAGGACTGATGATACAATTAAGTGAACTTACAAGACACAACATACATCAAGGACTAAGAGGACAAAACATACACCAAGGACTGAGGACACAATTAAGTGAACTTACAAGACACAACATACATCAAGGACTGAGACGACACAACATACACCAAGGACTGAGAGGACACAACATACATCAAGGACTGAGACGACACAACATACACCAAGGACTGAGAGGACACAACATACACCAAGGACTGAGGACACAACACACACCAAGGACTGAGAGGTCACAACACACACCAAGGACTGAGAGGACACAACATACACCAAGGACTGAGAGGACACAACATACACCAAGGACTGAGAGGTCACAACATACACCAAGGACTGAGAGGACACAACATACACCAAGGACTCAGAGGACACAACATACATCAAGGACTGAGACGACACAACATACACCAAGGACTGAGAGGTCACAACATACACCAAGGACTGAGAGGTCACAACATACACCAAGGACTGAGAGGACACAACATACACCAAGGACTGAGAGGTCACAACATACACCAAGGACTGAGAGGTCACAACATACACCAAGGACTGAGAGGTCACAACATACACCAAGGACTGAGAGGTCACAACATACACCAAGGACTGAGAGGTCACAACATACACCAAGGACTGAGAGGTCACAACATACACCAAGGACTGAGAGGTCACAACATACACCAAGGACTGAGAGGACACAACATACACCAAGGAATGAGAGGTCACAACATACACCAAGGACTGAGAGGTCACAACATACACCAAGGACTGAGAGGACACAACATACACCAAGGACTGAGAGGTCACAACATACACCAAGGACTGAGAGGACACAACATACACCAAGGACTGAGAGGACACAACATACACCAAGGACTGAGAGGTCACAACATACACCAAGGACTGAGAGGACACAACATACACCAAGGACTGAGAGGACACAACATACACCAAGGACTGAGAGGACACAACATACACCAAGGACTGAGAGGACACAACATACACCAAGGACTAAGAGGACACAACATACACCAAGGACTGAGAGGTCACAACATACACCAAGGACTGAGAGGACACAACATACACCAAGGACTGAGAGGACACAACATACATCAAGGACTGAGACGACACAACATACACCAAGGACTAAGAGGACACAACATACACCAAGGACTGAGGACACAACACACACCAAGGACTGAGAGGTCACAACATACACCAAGGACTGAGAGGACACAACATACACCAAGGACTGAGAGGACACAACATACACCAAGGACTGAGAGGTCACAACATACACCAAGGACTGAGAGGACACAACATACACCAAGGACTGAGAGGTCACAACATACACCAAGGACTGAGACGACACAACATACACCAAGGACTGAGGACACAACACACACCAAGGGCTGAGAGGTCACAACAAACACCAAGGACTGAGATGACACAACATACACCAAGGATTAAGAGGACACAACATACACCAACGACTGAGAGGACACAACATTCACGAAGGACTGAGAGGACACAACATACACCAAGGACTGAGAGGACACAACATACACGAAGGACTGAGGACACAACACACACCAAGGTCTGAGAGGTCACAACATACACCAAGGTCTGAGAGGACACAACATACACCAAGGTCTGAGAGGACATACATTAAGTGAACTGACAATACACAACATAAGCCAATAACAGGGAGAAACCAAAAACTGAGAGGACACAGCATACACCAAGGTCTGAGAGGTCACAACATACACCAAGGACTGAGAGGACACAACATACACCAAGGGCTGAAAGGACACAACATACACCAAGGGCTGAGAGGACACAACATACACCAAGGTCTGAGAGGTCACAACATACACCAAGGGCTGAAAGGACACAACATACACCAAGGGCTGAGAGGTCACAACATACACCAAGGTCTGAGAGGTCACAACATACACCAAGGGCTGAGAGGACACAACATACACCAAGGTCTGAGAGGTCACAACATACACCAAGGGCTGAAAGGACACAACATACACCAAGGGCTGAGAGGACACAGCATACACCAAGGTCTGAGAGGTCACAACATACACCAAGGACTGAGGACACAACACACACCAAGGGCTGAGAGGTCACAACATACACCAAGGACTGAGAGGACACAACATACACCAAAGTCTGAGAGGTCACAACATACACCAAGGTCTGGGAGGACAAAACATACACCAAGGTCTGAGAGGACATACATTAAGTGAACTGACAATACACAACATAAGCCAATAACAGGGAGAAACCAAAAACTGAGAGGACACAGCATACACCAAGGTCTGAGAGGTCACAACATACACCAAGGACTGAGAGGACACAACATACACCAAGGGCTGAAAGGACACAACATACACCAAGGGCTGAGAGGACACAACATACACCAAGGGCTGAGAGGACACAACATACACCAAGGTCTGAGAGGACATACATTAAGTGAACTGACAATACACAACATAAGCCAATAACAGGGAGAAACCAAAAACTGAGAGGACACAGCATACACCAAGGACTGAGAGGTCACAACATACACCAAGGACTGAGAGGACACAACATACACCAAGGGCTGAGAGGACACAACATACACCAAGGGCTGAGAGGACACAATATACACCAAGGTCTGAGAACTGACAATACACAACATAAGCCAATAACAGGGAGAAACCAAAAACTGAGAGGACACAACATACACCAAGGGCTGAGAGGACACAATATACACCAAGGTCTGAGAACTGACAATACACAACATAAGCCAATAACAGGGAGAAACCAAAAACTGAGAGGACACAACATACACCAAGGGCTGAAAGGACACAACATACACTAAGGTTTGAGAAGACAGGCATTCAGTGAACTGACAAAACACAACATAAGCTAAGAACATAGAGGACATAAATCAAGAACAGACAGGACACAAGATAAGTCAGACATGATTTAGGCACACAAATTACCTGGCTCTGTAGACTGCCTGGGTCATTAGACCCATGGAGACTGGGTCTTCACAGAAGACATTGATGTCTGTTCCACCAAGAATTAGGATATAAGGCAGGTAGCTGTCTGTGGGTGATGAAACAATCAACAAGAGTTGACATCCCTGCATGTGTGACATTCCCACATGTGCTCTGGCACCTTCTTCAGTAACTAACAAAGTGGTCATAATAAAAGTACCAGTTGCAACTTGATTAAAAGTCCACATCTCGTACCGTGTGAGTGTTGAACATCTTGAAGAACCTCTACTCATGCCACACTGCTGAATTAGTCTTTCAATGTATGAATTCTCTGTCCATTTTATTGCCCTGTCCAATTTATCCCGGAGTATTCTTTATCTTAAAATAGCTCATTGCCTAGAGGACTGGCAGCAGTTAATCTATCAGCCTGCGCGTTACCTCCCACACCTAAATTTCCTGGCCAGAAAATCCATCATTTGCTAAATCTGTGGATAAGGCACACCATTAACATTTATCTAAGATACACGGATTCTAAGGGAACCTTCGTGGTCTAACGACTAGACGCTCGCCTGCTGATTGGAAGGTCATGGGTTCGGTTCCTGACAGGGTCTGGACTTTTTTCAAAAATGACATTGGCATCCTAGGTCGACACATCTTTGAGTGGATACCAGGTACAGTCCAAGGAAGTAAAACTGGCTGACGTGATGCTGATCACATCACCCACCAAGTCCATTTGTTCTATAAATTACAGGTCTAGCCCTATATACCCAATAAACCTGAAAGGCGTGGAAAAGGATCGTTCACTTTACTCAACGGACCCTAATTATGAATAGTTCATCTTAAGATGGGTCTCTTGTTCTTCTTTGTGTTCTCATGTTTTAAACTCTACCCAAACAAAATTCATAGATGTACGTCCAATTCTGGACTTCGGTCTCTCATTGTGATGGTGAACCTGTCATCATGTTGGTGAACCTGTGTCTCATTGTGTTGGTGAACCTCTACCTCACCGTGTTGGTGAACCTGTACCTCATCATGTCGGTGAAACTGAATCTCATCATGTTGGTGAACCTGTACCTCATCCTGTTGGTAAACCTGTACCTCATCCTGTTGGTGAACCTGTACCTCATCATGTTGGTGAACCTGTATCTCATCATGTTGGTGAACCTGTACCTCACAATGTCGGTGAACATGTACCTCATCATGTCGGTGAACCTGTACCTCACAATGTCGGTGAACCTGTACCTCATCATGTCGGTGAACCTGTACCCCATTCATTTCGGTGAACCTGTACCTCATCATTTCGGTGAACCTGTACCTCACCATGTCGGTGAACCTGTACCTCACCATGTCGGTGAACCTGTACCTCATCATGTCGGTGAACCTGTACCCCATCATTTCGGTGAACCTGTACCTCACACCATGTCGGTGAACCTGTACCTCATCATGTCGGTGAACCTGTACCTCATCATTTCGGTGAACCTGTACCTCACCATGTCGGTGAACCTGTACCCCATCATGTCGGTGAACCTGTACCTCATCATGTCGGTGAACCTGTACCCCATCATTTCGGTGAACCTGTACCTCATCATTTCGGTGAACCTGTACCTCACCATGTCGGTGAACCTGTACCTCACCATTTCGGTGAACCTGTACCCCATCATGTCGGTGAACCTGTACCTCACCATGTCGGTGAACCTGTACCCCATCATTTCGGTGAACCTGTACCCCATCATTTCGGTGAACCTGTACCTCATCATTTCGGTGAACCTGTACCCCATCATGTCGGTGAACCTGTACCCCATCATGTCGGTGAACATGTACCTCACCATGTCGGTGAACCTGTACCTCATCATTTCGGTGAACCTGTACCTCACCATGTCGGTGAACCTGTACCTCACCATGTCGGTGAACCTGTACCTCATTCTGTTGGTAAACATGTACCTCACCATGTCGGTGAACCTGTACCTCATCCTGTTGGTAAACCTGTACCTCATCATGTCGGTGAACCTGTACCTCATCCTGTTGGTAAACCTGTACCTTATCATGTTGGTGAACCTGTACCTCATCATGTCGGTGAACCTGTACCTCACCCTGTTGGTGAACATGTACCTCATCGTGTTGGTGAAACTCTACCTTATCATGTTGGTGAACCTGTACTTCATCATGTCGGTAAACCTGTACCTCATCATGTTGGTGAACCTGTACCTCATTATGTTGACGAACCTCTACCTCATCACGTTTATGAACCTCTACCTCATGTTGGTGAACTGCTATCTTCTCAGGTTGGTGCCCCCTACTTCCTTATGTTAGTGCCCCCTACCTCCTTATGTTAGTGCCCCCTACCTCCTTACGTTAGTGCCCCCTACCTCCTTATGTTGGTGTTCCTACACCTCCTCATATTCACACTAGTTCTCAGTTCTTTGATGCTGACAGCATATTTCAACCTTACCTTTCATAAAAGCCCCAGTGCGAAGAGCGTGGATGCCAATCATGACACCATCTTCTTCCTTTGCTATGGAACTTAAGTCTGGTCTGGCAAAAAGTTCTTTGGGATCATCCTGATGACACCGATATCCTTCATTTCTAAGATGCTCACTGAAACAGATGTTGCTTATAAAGGAACTGAATCTGAACAACAACAAAAACTTAATCACGAGTCATAGTTCTACAAATATCTGCTATATGAAAACACATGTGGCCCATACTTCTTCTTCTTCGCGTTCACCAGCTGTAAACTCTGGCGGAAGGTTCTGGTTGCTCGTCTACTACTGAACTGCAGTCCTGCTCCAGAACCTGAGTGTTGCGTGTGCATCAGTTTTACAGATCTCATTCTCTTGAATACAGACTGTTGGTTCCTTGCCTCTCCGGCAGACGCACTCCGTCTTCAAAGGAAGCTCCCCAATTAGTTGACTCTTACAACATGCTTTGGGGAGGCAGTGGGTCTATTCTTGTTTTCCCCACAATGGGGCCCCGGAACCCACACAGGGGTAGCCCATACTGTCATGTCTGCAGACACGATAAATCTACTTCAAATTGAGCTGTAAAAAATCTGACAGATGATTTATTTACACAGTAAAACCTCAATGGGCAACCTCCAGGGTATAGCAGTTAGATGCTCGCCTGAGGATCAGACGGCCATGGGTTCAAGTCAGCATGGTACCGGATTTTTTTTAAATGCGTGACCTTGGCTTCCAGGATGACCCAGCCTCAAATAGGTATAAGGCAAAGTCATGGGAAGTTAAGGTGGCCAGCGTGGTGCTGTCCACATCACCCACTGAGTGCAGATTGGTCTAAAAATATAGTTCTAGCCCTATATGCCCTATACCCCGGAAGGCGTGCAGAAGGGTCCTTTCCTTTCGTACTTGATTGTTCTAACCCCACTTTTGACAGAACCAGTGTCTCCATAGGCATTAGATCTGATTACATGTCTGTATTTTGCAGTTCCTGTCTTTCCACTGTAGTTAAGAGGTTCTTAGTTGCCAGTGTGCCGGGTAATTACATATCATGCTGGGAAACAATGGTAACACACACCATGATGGCTACACATATAAAGTAGTAGATATTACGTTAGTGAGTCAAGATGAGAAAGCTTCAATCAAGATGAAATTGGCTTATTCTTCCACAGTATCCCCTCTTTTTTTTAGCATTCACCGGCTGTAAACTCCGGTTTAAAGCTCTGGTTGTATGTCCACTTCTGAATTGTGGTCTTGTTTCAGAAGTTTTGCATGCATGTTGATTTTACAGATCTGGTTTATACGTATGCAGACTGTTGGTTCCTCAGCCATTAAGCAAACCTTTGAAGAAAACACCCCTAGTCAGTCACCCTTTACTACATGCTCGGAGCAGTGGGTCTATTCCTTCTCCCCTAAAACTTGGTCCCAGAACCCACATGGGGTCCTAGAACCCACAAAGTGTCCCACAAAGTGTCACTAGAGACAATGTCTGTATATTTCCACTAAAAGCATACACTTTTGTGCTTTATATGTTCATGTCTGCAGTAATGCAGGTGATGAGATACAGCAAAATATTCTGGGCAACAAACTGAGAAACATAATGTTTGTGTCCTCACTATTGAAACTAACGACGAGATAGATTGTCTCCAACTCTGTGACTGGTAACAGGTTTGAGGTTTTGAACAATGGATCAACAACATGGCACACAGGTAGTAACCCATAAGTGCTCTGTTCTTCTTGTAAATCAAGTCTGAGTCCAAGAAGCTAAGCACAGTGCACAAGCTCTGTAGCACCAGCAAGGATCCTGAAACACCCAGGGGGTGCCTAGATGACCATGTTCTTAGTGCACTTGTGTCCATGACGAGGCGCACACGCTGTCTGGAGGTGACAGGTTCAATTCCCGGCATGGTAACTATAGCTTTCGATTTTTATGTTGGCTAGTGTGTTCTTCTATCTTTGTACTTCTTTCTATGAGTGCTGATCAATACACTTTCTGTTACATGATTAATTCATGTTTAAAACAACAACTTGTGTCTAAGAGACTTGTGTTCTTAACAGTGTCGCTTGGTCAATTTGTTTGCAGTAGGAGAAATGGCTAAATAGCTTTCACATGCAATGCCCAAGAAGATTACTCAGCATTAAATGGTGGGACAAGATGACAAACACTGAGGTACTGGAAAGAGCAGATATAACAACAGTTTTCTCAATGCTCAGTCTCTGAAGGCTCAGCAGGTTGTATCACATGTGGAGAATGGAGAATGGTAGAGTCCCTACAGACATCCTCCATGATGAATTACAGATGGATAGATGTCGAGGCCGGCCTCTACTAAGATTTAAAGATGTGTGCAAGCGGGACATGAATGACACAGGTATTGAAGTAGACCTGTAGGAACAAAATGCCATGGTCTGTGTTGAGTGGAGGAGGAAAATCAGGAATGGAATAATAATGAAGGACAAAATGATTGCAGAAAGGATGAGAGCTGAGAGTCTGAAAAAAAAAAAAAAAAATACATGTGATGGCAGCAACGGCCCTGAAATCCCATGCTATCATTGTGGAAGACTTTTCTTAATGCAGGCGGGTCTTGCTAGTCACACTCTCCATCCCCATGGTTTGTGATTAATATGCCTTGGCATTGCACAATAAAAAACTGTCGTCTGGAAAACCCAAAGGTGCATACAAAACCCAAAACAACAAATGTTAACTATCAGATAACTTCAACAAAAAAATCACTTATGTCTAGACAACAGACTGGAAACTTCTTTGTTTTCTTCTATTGTGTTTACACTTAAAAATGCAGTTGGTATATTGTGCTGTGGCATACAGCTAGGCTGCAATAACTATTTCTCAAACTATCTATATTGTGCTGTGGCGTACAGCTAGGTTGCAATAACTATTTCTCAAACTATCTATATTGTGCTGTGGTGTACAGGTAGGCTGCAATAACTATTTCTCAAACTATCTATATTGTGCTGTGGCGTACAGGTAGGTTGCAATAACTGTAATTCTCAAACTATCTATATTGTGCTGTGGCATACAGCTAGGCTGCAATAACTATTTCTCAAACTATCTATATTGTGCTGTGGTGTACAGGTAGGTTGCAATAACAATATTTCTCAAACTACCACATCCAAATTCAGTGATCCTCCAATAAATTTGCAAATAATTTCCTGAGAACCAAAATGGGAAGATTGAAAACTGAAGTGTTTACAACAAAATGGTCAAAACCTGATTCTGCTGATGGTGCAGTAGTTTCCTCCTCCCTTCTGTGAGCCAGGTGACAACAGGTAGAGTGTGGGAGACATGGGAAATCTGCAAAACCAACAAGAATTACTGATTTACAAAACTCAACTGCTTTACAAATGTTTATTTTTGCACAGCCAATATGTGTTGACATGGCACATGATAGTGATTATTAGTATGTCTTGTTAATCCTAAACTATGTTTTATCTATGTGATATTATCTATATGAATCTGTCTTATCTATTGGATGTTACCAATATTAAACTGTCTTATTTATGTGAATCTATGTTGTTTAATCTATCTGAATGTATGTCTCATCTATGTAAATCAAAGAGGCCTGCGCTCAAAGACAAGTTATAACAAAAATCAGTAAGAGACAGTCATCATTTTATTTTTGGGTCATGTTATGTGGAAAAAAGAAACAGAATTTGTGACCACTGGAAAGACCTGTGGAAAAATAGATGGAGGCAGACAAAAGAAAAAGTATTTTAGCAGCCTTTTGTCATGGTATGGTGTCAGCACACACTAACTTATATATGCTGCTGAAGGTGGCAGATTGTTGAAAGGCATAACTGCCCCTGCCAGTCGATAAGGCACTTGATGATGATGTATTGCTGGTAAGAAGTAAAGCCCCTTTTCTTTTCCCCGCCTTCTAGAATAATGGGTACATAGTTCTGACAGATTTTTCTTCTTCTTTGCATTCACCGTTTGTAAACTCCAGTGGAAAGTTCTGGTTGTTTCTCCGCCTCTGGAATTGAGACTTGTTCCAGAACCCGAGTGCTGTGTGCACATCAATTCTACAGATCTGACTTATTTGAATGCAGACTGTTGGTTCCTTGCCTCCTTAATCTCTTTATTTCCCATTTGGTTCTCCTTTAAATAACGGTCGCTAGCTGGAAGGCGACGGCCGCTTAGTCGGAGTTCACTCCCTTGGCTGCAGTGCAAATAAGGAGCGGACAAGTCACGAATAAAAAAACACAGTGAGGTCGACATGCCTGCTAGAGCTAGACCACGCGCTGCGACTGACAGTAGCGACCGCGGTCTTGCGACGCAAGACTCTCGTAGACCACGCGCTGCGACTCACATTAGCGACCGCGTTCTTCCGACGCAAGACTTACTGACCGTAGATGTGAGACCTGCAGATCTGTATGTCATAATGAGCGATAAGCTTCCGTCGTTTCCGTGATGTGTCACCCTAACCCTACCCCAAACCCTAACCCTACCCCAAACCCTAAGCCTAGGATGACAGGTAACTATATCATTTGTTTCGTTCCCTCTTTACCACTCCGTATTTGCACTGCAGCCAAGGGAGTGAGCTCCGACTAAGCGAGCGTCGCCTTCCAGCTAGCGACCGTTATTTAAAGGAGAGCCTCCCATTTTAATGCCTGTTTATTTCTTCTGAGGATGTGTCCATTACAGGGACATCTTCTCTGTCTTATAACTGTTGATACCAGTATTACCAGTGTTATCATATTATTTTCTTATCAAGAAAAAATTTGGAATAAATTAGGAAATAATTATTTCAAATGAAGTAATTTACTATTATTATTAAATTCACATTGACTCAATGGTTGAGTCAGTAAAGAACGAAAGGATCTGTTGCCTCTTCTGGCACAATACTCGTGTAGATATATGAAGCTGCCTGGTAGCCATAAACTGACAATTTACTTATACTATACTGTCGACAGCCTTTATATTCCACAAGACATGGGTGACGTTTGTTCCTTACAAAAAATAGGTGCCGGTAATGAGGTAATCGCCACAAAAAGTGTCTAAAAAGGTGCCAGTACTTATAACAAAGTACAAAGTGTCTCACAAGTTATTAGTTTCCTGGTACCGACTGGGAGCACTGCAATTTAATAAATAAATCCTTTATTATTTAATTTCATGTGATTTCATGAAATCTGAGACTGTATACTGTATCGAATTGGGACTCTACGCCCCTGACTACGGCAGTTTTAAAATCTGCTTCGATTAGGATTCAAACCTACTATGACCATGCGTCAGTATGCAATCTATCCACTGAACTACAGCTATGTACCTACATGAATTACGGCAAAGATCTGTCTATTGAGACAGCGCCATGACGTCCAGTCCGAGGCTGCCAATCGGATTTTTACCAAAACCCAAGCTAAGCTGACAAAAAAAACCAAGCAATACATAAGCAAGGAACAAAAACAAACACACAAAAACCCAAGATTGATAGAAAGTACACATAAAATGAAACGAAACATTTAACTAATTTTATAAAAAGATATACATATATATTTTTTCAAACAGGATTCTAAAATCCAAACCCAAGGCGTCATATAAAAACCAGATCTTGGGGGAAAACCCAAGTATTGGCAACCCTGGTCCAGTTTGATTGTGTAGGTTGTGGTGTGGCGACTTTTCTTATGTCGACACCGGAACCTGAGCCAGATTCTTTATTTAGAGTTACCTTTCGTTGAGTATTTTCTGTTGTAAGAGTCGACTTACTGGAGTTACTTCCGTCGAAGTTCTTCAGCCTGTACGGCAAGGATCCAACAATCTGCATTAAAAAAGTCAAATATGTAAAACGGATGTGCACACATAACTCAGGTTCTAGAGCAAGGCTAAAGTCTAGAGGTCGATGAACAACTTTCCGCCGGAGTTACAGCCGTTGAATGGGAAGAAGAAATGAACTGTTTAAGACGAATCCTAAATGTCACTACAGGATCAGAAATGACGGTATCAAGAAAAAAGTTCAGATCCAACCAGTACTTTTATATAATTATACCAGGAGACAACAGATCGCATGGTTCGGACATGTGTCAAGATTACCACTAGATCATAGGCGCCGGAACCTGGAGCTTAATTAAGCCCCACAAAATTTTCTGAAGGGGGGAGCTCTGACGGTCCTTTTATCCTAATTCACCCCATCTCGGTGACTACGAGGGTTGCCGGGGAGCTCCTAGGGAAAGTCCAATAGTATAGTGGTGTTACGCTATTAAATGAGCACCGACTAACTCAAACCAAACCCTAACACCCCCCCCCCAGCCCCACGATATTTGACTTTTCATGGGAACTATCGGATTCACCGAGATAGTGTGAACTAAAATTATAGTGCCGGGACTTTTGCTGATTTAATGTTATGTTGACGATTTTCAGACCACTCGAAACATTTTTAAAACCAAACTGGACGATTTTCAAACCATCTAGGATAGCGGTTCTTTACCTGTGGTCGCAACCCTATTGTGGGTCGAACGTCCCTTTCACAGACCATCAGAAAACACATATTCACAGACGTTTTGAAGTAGCAACGAAAATTGTATGGTTGGGAGTGGCCACAACACGAGGAACTGTATTGAAGGGTCGCAGCATTAAGAAGGTTGACAGCCACTGATCTAGGGCATTTTTCAAATCAAACTAGACATTTTTCAAACCAATTAGGACTTTTTTTTTTTTAAATGCAATAGATGGTTTGAAAAACGTCCTAGATGCTTTGAAAAGTGTCCAATTTAAAATGAAAATTGTGTAAATAAGTAGTATATACGTGCTTTAGAGACCATATTTTTTTTTTTTTGCAGTCCCCTTTTTACATTATAGTATTAAGCCGCCACTATAGGAAAAGAGGAAAATATGCAGCCGCTGAATAGTCTAAATATTAAAACATGATTCACAGCCGCCAGATGGTCTAAGGAAGGAAGAAGATTGGCATTTTTTTTTTAAATCTAGATCACCTGGCGGCTCTGTCATAGGTCAGCTGCGAGTCAAATGAAGGCTATTGTAGTTTCAGGTCATTTGACGGCTTTGATAAAGCTCTTTTAGGGTCTCATATAGGGACAGAGCAGAGAATCCGAGCGTTTCAGGGGCGGCGATAAGCAGAGGCAGGCAGTATGGAGTATTTTTTGGGGTTGTAAAGTAGAATAAAGAAAACTAGGGATGTTTTTTGGCTTGGTGGAGGGCGATAGAATGAATACATGTTATACAGTAGAAATATTTAAAAGTTATGGGGTATGGGGGGAGGCAGGGGTATATAGAAAAAAATAAAAACAAATGACGAAAGGCGGGTGTCATATCACAGTGTTAGGTGCCGGGTACTCAGTGAGAGTTTAAGCTGTCATGTCAGCTAGTTACATGAGGGTTTTAGTGTTGTTAGTGTTCCTGAGGCCTATGGTGTTATGAATTTATATGTATTTAAAAAATTATGGCAAAGGAGTGAATGTCATGTCATAGTGTCAGGTGATGATGGATCGCTCAGAAGTCAAGTTGTCATGTCAACTGGTTACACGAGGGGTTTTAGGGACCACTTAAGGTAATTGAATATGGTGTTTATATAGAGCAAAATTGAAAAATTGTGGCAAAGTAGCAGGTGTTGTGTTGTGATGTTAGGTGCCAGTGGATCGATAAGAGGTCAAGTTGAAATGTCAGCTACTTACATGAGAGGGTTAAGTGGTCAACGGGGAAGGGGGTCACTGCATATGGTGCTAAAACGGTCAGTTCCACAATAATCTCCCCAAACAAACTAGGTCACGTTCCATTCATAATTTTTTTTTTTTTTTTTTTGGGGGGGGGGGGGGGGGAGGTTCTTTTCTGGCTTGTCTCGCATTTACGTTTATATTCCGAGAAAGAGAATGCCTGTGACATAGGTTGTTGCACTCTCTATGGGGGGCGGGGTGGGGAGGGTTGTGTGTTTGACCCAGTTTCTAAATGTTAAAAGTGCTGGGTGCTTAAATTTACAACAAGCGATATCAACTGCATTGTTGAACACCCCCGTAGCAGTTTTCAAAGGTCAGGTGACTCAAGGTCGACCAATCAGAAGTGAGCTTTTGTGTATATGGGCAGTCTCTGGGGGACTATCATGGAACTAACCCTATGACTTATATATAGAGAAAAAAATTATTAATTTGTGTCGAGGGGAGGTTCCGATGGCTCAGTAAGGGGATGAAGGTGTCATGTCAACTAGTTACATGAGAGGTTGTAGGGGTCTGAGGGTCACTACGTATGGTGCTATGACTTTATACATAGTAAAAAAAAACGAAAAGTTATGACAAAAGCAGTTGGTGTCATGCCACAATGTTAGGTGCAGGTGCTCAGTGTA